GCCCTTGAGGAGGGAGGCGGGAGCCCTGCCGGCAGCCACACCTGCGGTCTAGGGGAACAGCCAGCATTACCAAGAGTTTCCTCTCCACCAGGCACCTTGCCAAGCATTTTGGGTGAAGATCCCCATTTATGCTTCACTGCAACCTCCTGAGACATGAACTGTGCAAAGGAAACCCATTTTATAGATGAAGACATCAAGGCCCCAGGAAGTTAGCCAACATTCCCAGAGTTCACACAGTGGTGGAGCTGGCAGGCAGCCTGGCTCTTAGCAACTCCCTCCTGTTTCTCTGGAGGTGAGGGAGGCAGATGCCACTGAGAAGCCCAGAGGAAGGGGAAGCTCTGTGTGCGTGTTTTGTGGGGACGACCAAGACAGGTGTTCCTGCAGAGACAGCAGTGCGTGCAAAGGCCTGGAGAAGGCACTGCACTAAACCTCCAGGGTGGTGAGCGAGGCACAATGGCTGGAGAGTAACGGCTGTGGAGAGCGGTCAGGACACAGCGTGCACCTGGGATGGTCGGGGGGTGTCTTTACCCTTAAGGTCTGCAGTCAGAGGAGGTGCCTGCTAAGTTGTAAGGAGCAGCTTCTGCTTTGGCGCTAGGTCAGTGGAGTTCGTGTCTGAATATACATGACAGCTGTGTTCTTCATTGTTTCCAGGAGACTATAAATATGTTTGAAAGGAACATTGTCGATCTGGTGGAACTCTTTATTGAAAATGTCCAAAGCCTATATCCTTTCCTCGGTGACCCTCCTGGGGAGGTGCTGTGGGCCCAGGGGGCTCTCCTGGCCCGGCCAGTGTCCCCGGCCGCCAGTAGGCTGGGGGAGGCACCTGCACGTGTAACAAAAGGCCCAGAGGGGATCTCTGGATGCACCTTCCTGGTGGCCACAGTGGGGTGACGAGCCTGCCAGTGCCCCAGACATGCTGGCAGAGACAGCAACAAATCAGCGTTTCATCACCAGACCTCGCTGTTTACCAGAAGTGCCTGTGCCCCGTTTGATTTACGGAAGATCTATATCTGTACCAAGAGGAGATTAGCAGGATCCTCTTCAGCGGGAATCTCCACTTTTGAAGAAGAAACCTCCAGGTTTTCACCAAGGAAATAGCCCACCTTTAGAGGATGGAGGTTTGACAACCAGTTGGAAAGTTCAAGGATCGCTTCCTGACCCTCAGCACAACAGCGCCTGCTTAGAGTGGACTGGGTGGCTCTGTGGGCCACTGCTCGCAGCAGAAGTCCTGGCATGTTTGTTCCCAAATGCCTGACCTCACCAGAAGACCAGACCCCAGAATCCCCCCCTGGCCCCTGTGCTGCAGGTGCACATGCCCTGGGGGAGGGCCGGCCTTGGTGCTGAAGACACTGACAAATCACTTATAAATGAGGTCAATGGTCAGGTTAGAGGCCGACATTTGGGGCGTGACCAACCTTCTGCCACGGGGGAAGTCAGGGCCCTAAAGTTCACCCCAGAAGTCACCCCAGTCCTGCCCTCCTGGGCCCAGAGTCCCACAGGGACACAGAGGTATGGAGGCAGCTACCTGAGGAAGGTCCACTAGGTGAGGACCTGGGGGTGGGCCAGAGGGACCAGCTGGGAACGTGGGAGGACATCCAGGCCCAGAGAATGGGGAGAGGTGGTTTTAAGAGGGGGTCTTTGGGTCACAACAGAGGGTGGGGAGCCCTCAGAAAGGGCTGGAGGGGAGATGCTGCGGCGAGGAGGGACCCCGAGGGGTGTGAGGCAGGTGTGGCGGTGAAGAGGAGGATGCCCGGGGCCCTCGGGCTCCGCCCAGCGCAGGGGAGGGAAGCCCAGCCTTCTCGACCCTAGTCATGGCTTAACTCACGCTGCACGATGGCTCAGTGCCGGGACCTAGAGAACCACCACCACGAGAAGCTCCTGGAGATCGCCATCAACATCTTGGAGAAGATAGTCAAGGGCGAGCTGGACGAGGACCTGCCGGAAGACGTGCGCCCGGTGAGCGCGACTGGCGTGGGCGGGGTTGTACCCTGGTGGGCGTGGCCGTGGCGGGGCGGGCGGGGCGCCGCATCCCCCTCCAGCCTCGGTTTCCTCATCTGCGAAGGATGTAACCCCCTATGCACGGCGGTCGGCGGGTGAAGGAAGCTAACAAATGAGGCACCTGTGGGCACTAGGGGGCCCAGCTAGGGAGCTGTGATAACCGAATGCTTTCAACTTACCCACAGGCTGGCTTCCAAACGCTCACTTCTGTGGGGCTTCCGGCACTTCCTAAGAGAGACCACTACAAATAGAGGTTAAGGCCTGAGGCTTCCCCTGAAGGCTGTCTCAGCCCCCGAGTCTGGCGAGCAGCACTGCTGGGGTCTCTGACCACTCCCCTAGTGATGAATGGCTGTGGTCGCGGTCAGCTCCGCCCACGTCTGCTCGCTTCGCTCGCTCGCTCGCTCGTGGGGCTCGGGGTCTCCCACGCTGGGGGCCAGCAGCAGGTGTGCTGTGTCTCTGGGAAGGGTGCCTGCTCTCCTTCCTTCACCATGCACTACCCCGTTCTCACCTCCCTCCACCTCCACGTCCCACCAAGTCAAGCTCCCAGCACCCTTTGCGGGCCCACCGGCCTTCCTGCCCTCCTCCACGAGGTCAGACACTTTGAAAGCCCAAACTGCATCCCAAGCTTTGCACAACACGCCCTGGTGGCTTCCCAGGGCTCCTGGAGTAATTCGTCACCATGGTCCCAGACACTGGTGCCCACCACCCTTGTTTGCTCCTCTCAGCGCTGTTCTGGGGGCAGACACGCCCTTCCCCCAGGCCTAGCTCCTCATCATCAGAGCTCAGCTCAAACGTCAGCTCCTTGGGGAGCCTTCCCTCATCACCTTCCGGAACGCCCACCGTCTCCCCATCACAGTGCAGGTTGTCGTGTTTATGTTGATTTGCTCATAAGACTGTTCACATCAACACAGTAAGACAGGTGCCACTGTGGTTCCCTTTCACAGAAGAGGAAACCGAGGCACAGAGATGAGAGTCACCAGCCCACTGACACCCAGCGAGCGTCTCAGTGGTGGAGCTTGAACATGGCAGCCTAGAGCAGGACAGAGGTGTTCAGATGAGGGACTAGGGCCCCTGGTTTCTGCTTCTTTTATCGAAGAGCAGGTCGTAACAAGTCACGCTGACGACACCGCTCTGAACAGCCCTCACTTGCAGTTTCCCCCAAATGCACTTGACTGAAGAATACTTTTTGCAGAGATACTAACATCTCAAGATTCCACAGGCCATACTTTGGAGACGATTAGGTAACCACTCCCGAGGACAGACAAACCCACCCACACCCTCTCTACAACACCCTCGGGTCCTTGGTGACACCTGACTCAGGCGTGAACACCTGGAACCTGGTGGGGGTTGCCTCCCACATCACTGTACACAGCAGGGAACCAGGTGCAAACAAGAAGCAGGAGCCCATGGGGAGCCCCAGGTCCCCCTAGGTCCACATGAGGGGCAGTGGAGGGTCCCATCGGTTTGTGGAGCCTTCTGTCCCCAGAGCAGCCCGAGCCCCAGGCTTCCCACCCGACGGGCAGATCTCAGGTAGGTCGGACCTGACAACCACGGTCAGGACACCCAGAGCAGCCATCTGCCTCCTCCCTGGAAAGCTTGCTCCCAGACTCAAGGACTGCCCAGTGGCCGCTGGCCTCTGCCACGCTGGGGTGTGTGGTCCCAAAGACAAGCTGGTGGGCCGTGAGGCAGCGACTGGTTCAGGGCCTGCCTCTGTGCTCAGGGCAGGGCCCTAGTCCTCACGGGCTCCTTCCCACTCCCAGCTCTTTGTCGACAAAGACACGACTGTTAATGCGGTCGGGACATCCCACGACACGCACCTGCTGAAGATCGACAACCGGGAGGACGAGCTGGTGACCCGGGTCAACTCTTGGTGCACACACCTGGTGGACAAGGTGAGCGAGCGCACTGCCTCAGCAGGACGGAGGGGAGGGCACGGCTGCTGACACCAGCCCGGAGGCTGGGAGAGAGGGACGGACAGACGGACAGGGCCATTTCAGGAACTGCTTCTCCCTAGACGGACTCAGTAAGAGGTTCTTGAGTCCTCTGCCTGATGGGTGCCGGGCCATGGTCTCTCCCCTCAGATTCACAAGGACGAGATGACAAGGAATCGCAGGCGCGTGAAGGAGATTAACCAGTACGTGGACCACGTGCAGGGTGAGCTGGACAGCCTGGAGTGCGGTGACATCCTGGACTAGTGCTGCGGCCATGCCAGCCTTCCCCACAAGAGGGGACGTGCAGATGCACAGAGAAATAAAGGACTGGGTCACCTTTCTCCTTCTTTAAAAAAGTAACCGGCATTCATGTCCACGTTTGGGCAGCTGGTGCCAGCTCAGAGCGATGTCCCAGGGCCAGGCTCCCAGCCATCCTGCCGCACCCAGGGCAGGAGGCCGCTGGCTGCTGGGGGGCAGAATGACGTGCACTCAGCCCCTGTCCCCAGTCAGCCCACCCAGGTGGAAGCCGCAGGGATGCGAGACCCTTTGGAGAGCACAGCCAGGCGTCATCCATCATCCGTGAAGTGGGGACGTGATGGTACCTCCTCTGAGCACAGTCGGGGGGTGGGGAGGGGGGTGCTGGGCAAGGATGGGGGGGCCTGCGAGCCTGAAACTCACAGACCCCTCCCGCTCCACCCTGGGTCCAGGCACCAGGAGAGCCTGCCTGCCACCTGGAGCCCTGCAAGTAAGTGGCTCCCTGAGCAGGAAGAGTGCACATCAGGTGGCCTTACTCAGGCTTTTAACCCAGAACAACAAATATCTTCTGTTTTCAAGAGTAAATCCTTTTCTCCTGAAACAGCAAAAAAATACAAACAGCTTGGACCAAAAATGACTCACTTTGAAAAGACTGATTAAAAACCAGGAAATAAAAAGCCTCAGGGCCAAGGGCCACCATTTCCCCGGTAGGAGGGCCCCGCCACGCCGGGGACGCCAGGACCTGCCCAGAGGCCAGCTGTGTGGCCTTGGGAAGCCCAGATGCAATGGGAGGGGCGAGACGAGGAAAAACTGGGCTCCACACGTTTACCTGCGAGAACCATTTAATAAAATCAGAGTCCTTCATACACGCGTGCCGGGCTCGGCCCGAGCTGCTCCCGGCCGCAGGGTGTCGGGGTGGCGCGGTGCGGGGACCACAGGGTCAGCCGCCGGCCTGCAGGAGCTTGTGCTTGACCGTCGTGCTCTCGGAGCAGAGGTGGACAAAGAGGGTGCCGGCGGCTGTGCGGGCCCGCAGCTCCTGCCGCTCGTAGTCGTGTGCCCACTCGATGCTGCCCCACCTCTGGATCTGAGGGGAGGACAAGACAGTGACGGTGGAGCCATGCCCCACCCCCAGAGCAGGGCCGAGGGGAGCAGGCTCCGACCACGCCCAAATGCAGGGACACGCGGGGCAGCAGCAGGTGACCACTCGCCAGTGGGCAGAGCAGCACCCGGACCGCATGTACACCTCCCTCCCCGGGCCTGACGTGCCCACGAGGAGGGGGCGCAAGGCGGCCTGTAGAACGTCGTCCTCCACGAGCTGCCTGGCCAGGCTGGGCTGCACGTGTCCCCCAGGTATGGGGACATAGCAACCAACCAGGGCCACGTGGCCACGTCAGCTGACTGCTGGGGAGCCCGGCGCTGCAGGGGCCCCTCGGTCTGCATGGCAGGCAGGGCTGCAGACTCTCCTTCCAGAACCAGATGGAGGACCCTGGACATCAGTGTGGCTGTTAGTGTGACTCCAGCCCATCCCGCGGGCTCCTCCCTGGCCAGGGCCCTCCCGGGAAGGCGGATCCATGCCACACAAGCTGCCTGCATTTCTGGGTGGCCCAGGACATCTGGACAGCTGTGCTGTGTCATCTGAAGAGCACTTTACCCTCTCAGAGACCTGCTCACGCGGATGGACGCTGAGGTTCAGAGAATGAAGGCTGGCCTTGGGTCCCACAGCCCAGAGAGGAGCCCAGAGGAGAACCAGGCCGCCTGCCCCTCGCCCCCCACAGGTCACCCTCCTCCCACACAACCACTTCTGCTGTCCAGAGAGAAGCAGTTTCTGCCCTGACATTGTTCCAAACAGATGACTACACGAACTAGGAAAACCCTGTCCTTACAGAAAGGCTTTTATCAGAGCAGGAGACAGTGTGTCACATGTTGGAGGAGGACCAAAAGGGGGCTGCACCAAACACTGCAGCGCTGAGTGAAAACGCACATGCCAGGGTAGCGAAACCTGATTAATTCTGAGCCCAGGAAATCAGAACTTGACTACACACAGCAGCCGCCGTGCGATCCTCCAGCCAGCGACCCGCGCTGCGTGCACGGCGGGGGTGAAGGCTGAGCCTGAGAGCGCAGACGTGGCTCTGGGCCATTTTAGCCTCCCCCAACCCCACCCTGCAGTTGTACCCAAACCACCTGGAACTGCCACACCTCGCCTCCAGCACCTTCTGGGGGTGCAGCCAGCCTGGGTGTCCTCCTGTGTGAGATGGGGAAGCCGCAGCCACACTGACCAGGTGGAGAGAGGAGGCGCGGCCATGAGGGAGGGCGGACACAGTGGGGCGTCACGAGTGTTACTCGACGCTACCTCTCTGGGCCCTCTGACTTTGGTTTCCAAACGAACATGAAAGCCACACAGGCCCGGGGCTCTCAGAAGCACTTCCGTCAGTCTGAGCGGGAGGGAGAGGCGGCCCCGGAGCCCGACCCGCACCTGGTACTCCTCCTCCAGGCGCGACAGCAGCACGGCCTGCTCCACTGTCAGGTGCCGGTCGAGCAGGCCCAAGGTCAGCACTATGGACTTGAGCTGGGTCACTACAAACTCAATCCCTGCAGGGACACAAGCCGAGTCAGACCCAGAGCACCCCCCACGCGGACACAGGGCGGGTGCCAGGCCCGTCCCTGCGAGCCCCTGAGCCCCAGTGCAGTGCGGGGCCCTGGGCCAGGGAGAAGTCCTTCCCCACGTTCCCAGCGAGAGAGCCGCTTCCCCGTGGGGGTCCCTCCTCCGCCCCTGCCTGGAGTGGGCGCCCTGCCGGCCACCATCCCGGCCCAGCAGAGCACTACGTCCTCCCGGGAGGGAGTGAGCCCGCGGAGCCCGCAAACTGGGTGAGAGGCTGGCATTACAAGCCCCTGCCCCCCCACCCCGGGTCCCGCACAGCCTTGCCCGTCTGCACGCCCTCCCCGGCCCACAGGCAGCACCACATACCCTGCAGGGCCCACATGCTGTAAGAGGCCAGGTGGCTGGCCAGCACCTCCCGAGTCCGGGCTGGGATGCTGGGCCCCAGGATGCTGGTAGAGGAGCCAATCTCCACGCTGTACCTGAGAGAAGAGGCCATGAGTGCAGTCCTGCTGGGCAGCAGCTTTTGCCCGGAGGCAAAGCCCCAACCCGCTGAGCACACGTGTGCCCTGCAGGGCACGTGGCCCAGGGGCCAGTCTCGGGGATTCTGGGAACTGCCCGTGTAGTCAGTGGCCTCCCGACCTCGTAGTTTCCTTTCCCCGGAGAGTAAAGCCAGACAAGAAAGGCCTGGATGAAGGCAGGCTGGCAAGTCAGGAACAGGGTCACCTGTAACTGCTGCCTGAGACTCCAACCTATTTGCCTGAATGTTCAGCAACACCGAGGGCTACCTGCTTTTTAAACCTTTTAAGAAAGTGTTCCACGTTTGAGCCATGAAAGGTTTCTTTAAGATACTGTTTTCTTTACAAGACTGTCTGCACTGTCCCGTGCCTATTAGTCACTGTCACGTGTTACCAAGGCTCTACCGCACACGAGGCGCTGTCTGGTCCGGGACGGGAGCCGGCTTTGAGAGCGATACATTTTTAAGAACCATCATAACTGCATAAATGCAGGAAAAACATAATGGAATAAGAGCAGGTTTTGTAATTTCCTTTCATATATCACTGGTTGTTCCCATCGGTTTAGAGTATTCTCCCTGAAATTTCTAATAGATCAAACGGAACGCTGGAAGTGGCCTCATCTTTCTGTAAAACATGAAGACGAGAAATCTCAGCTGCCACCAAGCTGACGATTCTGCACCACAGCAAAGACCTCCAGGCAGCTGAACTACCGATTTATCGCACCGGACTCCGAGGGGACGTCGCAGCCTCCAGTCCTTGGGTTTTATCCGACCCTGCAGTGCAGGGCTTGCCTGTCACTACAAGCCCGAGGACACCGACACGTCGTGGACGCTCAGGAGGTGTGTACAGGGGAAAACCAGTCCACCTACGCTGACGGAGGGCCCTGGTCAAGGCGGCACATGCTGGGAGCCCTTCCCGACCCCCTGGAATGACACGGACTGAACCAGGCTGGGGTGCGGTGCCCGCCCCGCTGTCCTACCTCCTCTCGGCCCACTCTGCCACCGGGTCCCACTCGCGCCTCTGCAGCTCCGCCAGCGCCTCCGGCTCCTCCACCCTGTAGCTGATGCAGCAAAGTCACCTTCATTCACACAGAAGCACAATCCCTTCCCAGGGACAGTCGGGAAGCCCGCGGAGGCAGCAGTGCAGAGCCGCTGCACCCCACCCCACCAAGCAGTGGGTCTTCAGGTCTGGCCTGGGGGCCTGGGGCCTGTGGGGAGGCCCACCTTCAGCCCAGCAGGACTTATGGAACCTGCCCTCTGGGTGGAGACCAGTTCTGCCTGGGGCTTTGGAGCCTGAGTTTGAGACGCACTGTCCAGCTGTGCACAGGCCAGGATGCGGCACCAGGCCCAACGCCGGCATGGCCCTGGGGCCGCCCCGCAAGAGGTCGCGCCCGGCCACGAACCACCTTGCCTGCCTGCACCTCCTGAGCCCACCTGCCTCCCCACCACAGATGCGGGTGCCTGACGCCCCGAGGCAGGCTGAGCCATCGTTCTGACCAGGAGACGAGACGGGGTCAGCCACGGGGAGCTGGGCTGCAAGGCTTCCTGGGATGCGGACCCAGTGGGCACTGGGAAGGCCCGTCTGGTGCGAGCAGAAGTGGGATGAGGGGTCACGACTGTGCTGGGGGTCGGGCTGCCCAGGGATGAGGGCCCCCCAGGGCAGAGGGAGACGCTCAAATTTAACCACTGTCAGAGATCCAGGACAGCTTCCAAGAGACCCCCCCCTTTCCTGAGCTGGGCTGAACAGGCTGTGCCCGGCAACCAAGTGGTCCCTGACACAAACGGGACAGACTTGCCAGGAGCATCTGTGCCCCCTTGGCCCCAGTGCTGCTGTCAGGGCACCTGCTG